TATATGTATATGGAGGAAATTTGATTACTATTGCTATAATTCCATTCCATCGTAAGAACAATAATTGAAAATAAAGTAAAAAATTTTTCTTTTTGAAATACAATAAATACCAGACGTTTATGGATTCCGGTCATGGTTCTTACTGCGCAGACATTAACTTAGGAATAGGACCGCAGAATTAAATAAGGGGGACTTTTCTCTTTTTTTTTCGCTTGCATCATTGTCATTGAAATAATGAAATTCCAAAGTCTCGGGTCGCGTTTACTACCATGCTGTTTTGTTGGCGCCGTTTGCATGTCTAAATAAAATACTTTACTATTAAATCGAATGACATTGAAAAATTAAGGAGTCGTGGAAAATGCCGACGAAGTCCAAGGGAGAAACGGTAAGTCTTTTCATGGAAGTCTATAAGTTTGCGATCTTTTTTCCATCTGAAAGTTTTCATTCAGTTCGATAAAAACCTCGGGGTAATTGGTTGCTGAGAAAGTTATCAGCCTATTTCCTTTTCTGGATCTTTTTTTTCTAAACCGAGTTTTTTCATTAAAGCTGAAGGAGTTTGTCGTGGTTGGACGTAAGTTGCCGTCCGCGAAAGAACATAATCCACCAATTTATAAAATGCAGATCTTTGCATCAAACCATGTGATTGCAAAGTCCAGATTTTGGTATTTCACCAGTATGCTACGACGGGTTAAGAAAGCAAATGGAGAAATTCTCGAATGCAAAGAAGTAAGTGTGGTGACATAATGGTCACTATTTTTAAAAAAAACCCGTAATTCTGCTTTGCCTTCTATCGTTCTTGTCCGTCAACAATTGGTAAGATCTTTATTCCAAAACTTTGGTATTTGAGTTCATTTTATGGTAAAATCGGAAGCAGGTTCTCTCGTATATAAACATTGAAATTTGATAGGCATATTGTGGCGGAGGGATAGCTTACTTTGGCATTACTTGATAAACTGCACGGCTTATACCGTTTTATCTTTTATTTACGCCATGATCTTAAATGCATGCATAAAGAAATGGGACTGTGTAATGTAGTACTCTTCTACGCCTGCGTATTTTATAGGTTTTTGAAAGGAGACCAGGATACATCAAAAATTATGGCATTTGGCTTCGGTATGACTCACGCACTAATCATCACAATATGTATCGTGAGTACCGCGACAATACTATTGCTGGAGCCGTAACACAGTGTTATCGGGATATGGGTGCACGTCATCGGGCACAAGCTGACCGAATTCAGGTTTTTACCCGGTTTCATTTGAGAAAACAAGTCATTTAATTCTTTTTGTACAGTGATATTGATAACTTTTAATAGTGAGTGACAAAATGAAATGATAAAATAGCGAACTTTGGCTTTAAATTCATATCCCTCTATCTTCGCTATTCCAAAAGCTGTCTACAGTTATATTTTGAAATTAAAAAGCAAGTAGCATTTACCTGCAGATCATCAAAGTACAAGTGATTAAAGCATCTGATTGTAAACGAGCGGCCGTTAAGCAATTTCACAATTCGAAAATTTGTTTCCCATTGCCACATCGTATTGCAAAGAGAAGAAATGCTGCTGTCTTCACTACTCGTCGTCCAAGAACACATTTCTCATAAATACGTTGTTTTGTTATTGTTGTAAGAATAAAGGAGTTTTGAATTTGGCACATGCTGAAATGTTTGGAATAAAGTTTATTCAAAATATACCTGTTTTATATCTTTTCGCGGAGTCGCACTCCAGTAATTTAGATTTCTGAGAATGACTTGGAGATACACTTTGGCTGTGTCGGGGTATTGCAAAGTATGTCTCGCTGGGTATTTATTTGGATAAGATAGTATTGATTTTACTTTCTAAGATAACGGAGAGGTAATTAAACCAATGGGGACAAACTATTTCAGTGGGGAGACTTGGCTGACGTTTCCCAGGTACTTTCTTATCGTGGGGAAGTCCGATGTTTTGGTGAATAGGGTTTGAAATTCCAAATCCAAAATCGGCTTCCCGCACTGATGACTTGGTGCGTCACATGTTTTCTGAAATTGCAATTTTAGATTGTAGCGGGATGGATTGCTTCGTTGGTGCATCGACGGGTGCTTTGAAAGGTAGGTCGAGACGTCCCGAATTATAAGTGGCGGTTTGCTATGTTAACTTGGAATCAGTTGAATAGGTTGTTGTAGCTAAAGGTATTGGAGGTTCTCGAGAAATATATAAGAAATATTGATGTGATTGCTTGTATTATAATCCAACTGGCATCTATCACTATGGTTTTGTTGACATTGGCTCAATGAGGTATGTTGGTTGTCAATCTCCGGTAGGAAATTGATGGTGGCAAATACTGAATTGCAGTATATGTTTCCTGAAGCAGCAGTTTAAAACTGGCATAATAGAAATGATCGTGTGTTTGATATATTATCTGCAATCATTTCCAGGTATTTCTTTCAAGGACAATGCTTTCAGTAATATAAACCAGATTGCTTCATTGAAACCGAGGCAAGATGAGATAACCTGTATGAGCTGGACGAATGAGGATCAAGTGAGCGATTATTTATGATATCTAATTTTAGTTTTTCAACATCTCTACTTGGATAAGTTTTGAAAGAGATTTATATATTATGATGTTGAAATAAATTTCTTCTTAGACGGAATTGCTAACAGCCCAAATGGATAAGCAACTGAAATTGCTTGATACAACTTCGAACGAATACACGACACTCTTTACTTTGGAAAATGGGAGCGGTGCAATTAAGGGGATAAGAAGGACAGCAGTGTATGTTACTACAGTTGGTAATTACGTTCAAAGGGAATCAGGGGAGTGATCTGTTAGTGGTATATCTTAAAAGATTGTATGTAAAGAATAACTTCTTTTATTAAATCGAAGGAAGTAGTGCTCATTGGAAGGTTTACTTTGCAGTTGTTTTTTTTTTTGGAAATTCATGTGAAAAAGATGCTTAGATTTAAAATCACTATTTGTTTCAAATCAGTTCGGCCATTTACCCCACATTTTAGACTGATCCACGGAAATTAGTCGATAATTTTGTTTTTAGAATTTCAGTTTTTCTACAGTGTATGAGAATACTGGGATTCGAAAACTGATTTTCCAGGGGCACGTATATATCAGCAGTTGAGTCTGGCGAACTTTCTGTCTCTTCACCATCTGGAGAAATAGTTAAGGAATTGAACGCAGGGAATAATCTGATCGCGATGGTACCCAGCTGTGAACAAGAAGGACATTACGCAACCGGTGGTAAAGAGAACCCCTTAAAAATATGGGATATTGAAAAAGGCGAAAAAATTTTTGTTGCTAAAAACGTACGCCCAGATGAACTGCAGCTTAGAGTACCAATATGGGTTAATGATATACGGTTTATACCGAAGTCACAAAACGTTGTAACAGTCACTGGTAAACATCAGGTAATTAGTGGGTTTGTTTTTCAGGTTTTTAGAAAAAACTTTTTTGATTTCTTGCTAAAATTTAAAGAACTTTTTGGTACTGGCTTATGCCTCATTGCTGTTGTTGGTTAAGAGGTGGTAAAGTTGAGGAAAAACGGGGTATTTGTAAATTCCCAGAAAGTTAAAAGCTAGACAATTCAAAAGCTCAACCAGTGCGAAAAAGTTCATGCTAACAGCCATCAAACTATAAATCCAATGTACTTTGGTGGCTGCTATCGTGAACGTTTTTCACTACACGTGTGTACTGTACCGTATATTTGTTATGACTGTAAAACACATTGTCATGGTGGCGGGTGGAATGCATTTGGCTTCTTTTAATCAGCAAATTAAATTACTCAGGTTGAAAAGTTGCACGAAGCATTTATAATAATTTGGTCGCTGTAAGTTGCTAATTTGAATCCTCAATTGCAGATAAGACTTTATGATCCTCGCACACAGCGGAGGCCGGTGAAGGAAATGATGTGGGCAGAGGAACCGCTGACGGCAATGTCTTTGTGTCGGAACGAAATGCAAATAGTTGCTGGCAATACTCGTGGTGATATAGGATTATTTGACTTGCGAAACAAAAGTAAGATTCAGCTCTTTTTCACTTACAATTTTTACAAATTCTCAAATAATACATGAAAGGCGTGGGCTGTAGAGGGGTAAAAATTACAATTAGACGTTATAGTGATGAGAACAGTACCATTACAAATAGGGCATCCATGAACTGATATAGGATGGAGAGAAATCCCTGACAATGTTTCTTTCTATTTACGAGAGTTTTCGTACAACTTGGAATGCCCTGCAGACTTCGCTAGAATATTTGGGAATCCTTTTTTCAATTGATTAATAAGGCTTCTCTGTCTTTTCCAGTGCATATGGTATGTAAATATAAAGGTTGTGCTGGTTCTGTTAGTGGAATTGATGCGCATCAATCAGCTGAATATATCGCCTCTTGTTCTCTTGATCGCTTTGTAAGACTGCATGAATTGAACTCAAAGAAGCTTGTCAAAAAGGTCATTAATTGGAAATGTAGCTATTAAATTTGTTAAGACTTGTTCCTCATATCTTAACTTTTCTACAGCAGTTTCACAGCATTTGAATAGTCACCTCAGCACTGCAACATTATAAAATCATTTATAGAATTCGAGGTTCAAAATTTCCATTGATTAAACATCTAATTTTTTCCTCTTATTTGGAGGTCAGATTCAAGTTTAGTTGGCATCAAGTTAATGCATTTTGGAACTGTGCAATACTGAAGGTTTTTTGGCAAATGATAGGTTGTTTGCTGAATCGTTCATTTGTTTCTGATTTCAATTCTAGATAGGATTAGTTTCCTCCTGATCAGTACTTTTAAATTAATCTGCATTTTTTCAGGTTTATTGCAAAGCTCGTTTGAATCGAATTTTGCTGCGTGATAAACTTTCCATCCTTAATAACGAAGATGGAAGTAAGCGAAAAGTGGAAAATTATGATTGGCAGGAAATAAAGGTAAAAAATTCGGGTGGTGTCCGTTAGTTTTTAATTAAAGTCATGTTTGAAGTTGCGATACTTTCATGTCTTGACGACACTGATTTTGATTAGTAACTTTGCCGGATCGGTGATCTTAAGTAGATATAATTGGAAACTTCTGCATGCAGCTATCGGTTTAGCATCATTTTCAATGGTTCAAGACTCTTTGACAATTAAATCAATTCTTTAGGAAAGTGGAAGTAGTGAGGATGAAACTTTGTGGAATGACATGAACCAGAATAAGGAAAGACAGATGAAGAGGAAATTAAGGGTATGTCTTTGTGATTGCTTTGGCTCAATTTTTAGGTTTTGGAGATGCATCGGATTTACTCTAGTACGACTACTAAAACCGCGAATTTTATTCAAATCAGGAACAGAGTCTTGCAAAATCCAGTGAATTAGATTTAAATTAGACACAGGCAATTTAAAGTTTGGAAGGCGAGTTGACTCTTGCAGGAAAATGCAAATTTGCTCCTTTCTCCATCTTTGGTTTCAATTTCATGTTGCAGGAGGATGATCTCGAGAAAGTGGTCAAGAAACCAAAGTTTTCTAAAAGGAGAAAACGAAGACGCGATATTTCGAAATCAGACATTTCAAAACGAAAGAAGTTGATAGCAGGGCCAAAGAGAAAGAGCGAAAGTACTGATGAGACAGCAGTCATGCTTCCGTTTAAAAAATTAATTCAGACCGTTTAGTTCTTATAATTTGAAAGCGGGTGATATTGCCCTTGTAATTTGGTTCGCTCACTTTTCTTGAAATTTAGAAAAGACTAGTTTGTGTCCAGTAGAGTCAGAGGGTGTCTAGGAATGTTAATGGATGGCACAGATTTTCTGCTCCGTCGTCGTTCATTTGGACTACTGCATTGTTCAATGAATTTACTGAAATTGTCAGATCCGTCCCTTTGTTGTGGATGGAACCTATAAAGGATGACATTTCAGCATAAGCCTTAGATAAGTATTTATAAGTTTAAAAGCCTCTCCGCCTCGATTTGATCTCTTTTCTGGCTCGGTGACCTGTTTTATGTTTTATATTATGTTTATTTGTTATGGAATATGAAAAGAAACAATATTATGTATAAAAACAATGAACTGAACTCAAAAGCAAATTTCAAGTTGCCATAGAACATTCCTGATCTGCGGTCGCATCAGTTCCGATTCTGGAAATGAAAATCATGTTTACCTCTGTTTCTGTATGTTTTGTCCTTAATTTAAATTCTGTAAACCATCTACCAAAGTTTTGCCGAGTTAAGGCGGTTAACTTCAAAACATAGTGAAGTGCTCTGCTTCACATCTACAGATGTCTCTTATGTACGGGACATCTTCTCTTTCTCTTTAACAGAGAAAGAGAAGATGTCCCGTACATAAGATACTTCTACAAATAGTTTTATAATTACATAAGGTACTTCTACAAATAGTTTTATAATTTACCAAACGGTATCCTATCTGGCATACTGTTTCCTTCCGGAAGTTTGATAGTACCATTCTCGTCACGATACTGAAAAAGTATTCATTTAGCATGGAAATTAGGATATAAATAGAGTATTTATGAGTGCGTAAAACACAAGGTAAAACTTTGGAAATCTTTAGAGGTTGGGTTTAACGTACAATTTCTCTGAAGGGTCCTGGTATCATATGTGGGGAAAGATAAGTTGGCCAAGCTATTCCAATTGCTTTGTGCGTAAGTTTTATCAAGGTAAGAAACCGGATTTGCAAAGCACGTGCTTCTTCAATGGCGTCGACAGCTACTAGAGTAGGCAGTAGAAGAATTAATTCGTCTGAAATAAATTAAGTAGTAACTGCATAAGATTCAGCAGTACTTCGTACTAAATGTTAACGCAGAAACTACTAGGATGGGTCGTACACTTCATTTCAGAACAGTTGTTCAATTTGTCTTCTATAACTGAAAGCAAATAGCAAAGTATCTGGTTCTTCTTACCTTGAATCATATGATTAAAAAGTGAAAGACTTTTTATTGAACAAGATAAACTCAAAGCGAACTAAATACCTTGTTGAGAATCGATTAGTGAAACAATATCTTTCAAAGCATTCAAAAGCGCTGCATCCTCATACTGCGTACCTTCCTTCAGCACTTTTTTCTTCCTTTAACAGCATGAGAGAAATTTAGTAAATGAAATGGGATGCATTAGGATTTTTTCTCTTTTTTGTCCCACTATTCATGATAAGAGTGACAATAAAAATAATATTCAAGACTATAGAATCCAAATGATACAAAGATCCTTTAGTGATCGACCATGGTTCAGATTACAGCTCTGTGGTCATGACATGAACCACTGGAATTATAAAACTCCCTTTAACTGAAATGTTAACATGTCATCAAGTTGGCCAAATCAAAGAAAGACATGGACTTGCATAGATAAAAACCGAAATGATTGGAGTTGCTTGCTATATCTTAGCATGAAAACAGTAAAGGATGTGTTTTTTGTTTTATTACAAGAGTGATTTCTCTACACTTCAAGTACAAAATGGGTAGGAAATTATATGAAGTATCGACTTCTATTTAGATATCAACCAGTCAGAATCACTCACTTTTCAATATGCTTTCGACGACGAGCTGAAGCCGCAGAAGCTGCTGAAATCTTTGATATATCACTCAATGCACTGGATGTTTCGCTAAAAACCTAAATAAAATTTTATTCTTTTGTAATTTTACCACTTCAATCTTCCAAAAATTTTAAATGAAAAAATGCCAGCGCTATTTAAAAAATATACACTATTACACTATTAGTTGACTGCGAAAATATTAAATAAAGATGAATAGCAATGATGTTAATGGAAACGTCTTCATTTATAGCATGAACTACGCCACCAAACAGCACTTTCTTCAAAATTAATTTCAAAGAAACAAAAAAAACTTACTTCTGACATTGCCAAATCTTGATTTTCAAATCGCTCAACAGCTACTTCCAGCGATTTTTTTTTATTCTGTCGAACTACTTCCAAACGACAGCAGTACTGTTCCAGTAAGTTCTCCCAGTTTTTTATACCTTGTAAAATCTGTTCATAACGAACGGAAGCTGCTTTAGCAACAGTTTTTGTCAGTTCTGCAAAAAAATAACAATGCCAATATCAAGCATCCTACCACATATATATATAAGCCTTGGAATATAAAAAAATTACCTTCATCCCTGAAAGCATGATTCATGGCAAAATCCCAAGCGTCCGCCTTACAGTAATATTCCACTATCTGCATCTTGTTAGACTAAAAAAGAAAACTTGCTATTCTTTGAGACCTCCCTTTCATACTAATACAAATTTTCTTTTATACTTCTATTGCTGTTCACATATCAAAAATCGCGAATTATATCAATCTTTATCAAACTACAATTCATAGCAACAATGAACCATTATGCAATATTGCCAATATCAGAGATCAGGGAGAGGTAATTAACCTTGTTTATGCTAATTAACCTTCTTATTTAGCTTCTTATTTACAAATGTAAACTTGATGAAATTTGATTTTTCTAGCAACTTCCATACTTGGTGTAGCTTTACCAACCGTAGTTCCATCATCTTCACCAGCTCCACCACCACCACCTCCTCCACCTCCACCACCATCATCAGAAACCTCCGGTGGACCGCCACCTCCTCCACCGCTTCAACTAAATGCCAAAGAGTCTAGATTGTTATCAAAGAAAAAACTAGACATACCGAAAGTATTGAAACCGAAAGCTATGC